CACATCAAATTTCTGTAGCTTGAACTTGTTCCATCCATTTGCTGTTCTACAAAGTTTCACTGGTGTTAGTAGATGGTTAACAATATATGAATAATTGATCTGTAAAGTGTGAGTTAATATATTAGTTAAGTGTTAGGTATTAGCTTATGGGTGTTATTGGGACGTTATTCTAAAGTTGCAAAAATTCCTCATTTACTAACAGTTAAAAAATGAAGAATAGTTGCAACTAGAATAACGTCCTGATAACATATAAAAAATAAACTGATACTTATCAAGTCTTTAGTAAGTAATTTACTAACAGCTTGTTCATGATCTATTACTAATTTATTATTTATAGTTATAAATCCTTAAAATACAGTAACAAGTTGTTTAGAACTTGTTAACTAACAGGTTTATTAATTGAAAAACAGCAGAAAACATGTATTAATGATTTTAATTAGGTAGGTCTGTTCAAAAATATAATTCTAGCATTATTTACTTACCCCATGTTATTCCAAACCCATAAATCTTTCATTGATCCAACACAATTTTTTTTTTATGAAACATGCAAAAATTCTGTTCCACCCTGACAGTTCATTACACCCAAATATTGATGCTTCAAAAAGTATATTGCACACTTCAAAAGCACATCCTTGAGTTTCAATTTATTGCTCAATTATTGATATTATTATAATTGATAACAATTATTATTATTGTTCAATTTCACAATATTACATAAGCTTTTTGTATATGTATAAAAAGAAAGCCACACCTTTACTGAATATTCAGTTTCAGTTGGAAGTACATCAACATACCAAAATAAGTCTTTACAAATCATGATTCATGCAGACTATAAATGAAAAACAAAACAAAACAGTGTTTTGTATCTGCTCTTACCTGAGAAACATGCCAATGGCATAAGCAAACAGGAAAGAATAATCCATTGCTCCAAGTAACTGCTTATAGTTATTTCTGTCTACAAAAAAAAAAAAAAAAAAAAAAACAGATGTGAAATATTTTATGTACTGAGTGAAAATGACAGAAGCATATGCTGCTTGTGTGTAATATAATATGTGAAATGTTACCAAACGGTTTCCAGCTGCAGTCAAACTCTGGGTGATGTCCAGGCTGTTGACTGCTGCTGCTGATCTCTGTAGGAGCCTCCACCGCATGAGAACAGTTCTTATGCAGCTCACTCTATATTAACACATACAACATCAGCTCGTCACCATGGGCAAAAACATAAAACCATTTTCTATCATTTCACACAGGCTATGACATCACATCATGGCTGACTGTATGATGAAGTGCACTCCTGGATTACACTTACACGAGATAACGTGTGATGGAAAATACTAAAAAGGAAAGAGCACTTTGAGATATATGGAGTACAAATACAACCATTATTTATTTTTAAAAATTCTGACAACATATTTTAAAATAAATGCTATGTGAATGACACCATGTAGAAATGATCAATAAAAATAACATATTTCCCTAACTTTTATTTCTTTGGTTTCATTGCATTGTTTCTTCATCATTTATTTCAGTATAAATGGTTACAAAACACTGACTTTAACCATGTAATTTATGACTTAAAGTAAAATGTCTGTGTAGAAAAACAATTCATATAAAATAAATACATACATACATACATACAATTCAATACCATACATACAATTTTTAAAATATAATTTCAATATATTACCATATTGTGACTTTTTAATAAAAACGATAAACAACAAATATTCCAATAAAATGAATAATGAACAATAATACAATTTATAATAAAATAAATATGAAGTATTATTTATATGATTATTATTGATTATAATAGAATAATAAAAATTAACAAATGAAGGGTTCAGATGCAAAACCCTCTAAATCCATCAGACCTCTTTTCTTGTAAACTAGCATTTTCTATCAGGCTCCTCTGATTTGGTTCAACAGTTTCATTTTATAGACATGGAAAAGGTTATTAGCTGCTAAATAAAATGTCACTTTAGATCTGGGGTCACCAAACTTGTTCCTGGAGGGCCGGTGTTCTGCAGATTTTAGCTCCAACCTTAATCAAACACACCTGATCAAGGTAATCAAGGTCTTACTAGGTATAGTTAAAACATCCAGGCAGGTGTGTTGAGGCAAGTTGAAGCTAAACCCTGCAGGGACACCGGCCCTCCAGGACCGAGATTGGTGACCCCTGCTTTAGATAATTCTTGGGTTTTTAACAAGGTCGATTTTCTTTTGTGTCAAAACCGCTAAATCCACTTGTGCTTTTTTCCAAAAACCTCTAAATCCATCTATCGAGACAAGACATTGCAATTAGTTGAAAAAATAACGTAGAAGTTATTTTACCAAATATAAAACACATTACACAAACCACCTAAAATTAAAAATATATAAATCTGTCAAGTAAATGGAGGTTCATTCCGTTGTTATAACCCTTAATAAACCAAAGACAAAGCAAAAGGAAAATAAAAAATTAATGAAATCTGTCAAGTGCATTAATAAATAACAATAAAACTGACATTAATCAAATCTTAACGATCTGTTGTCATTTGTGATATTTGGGATTTAGACTTAATGCAAGTACAGCAATGTAGACATTGTAAACTAAAATTGTTAGATTCAAATAATGTAGCGTAAAACATTGCGAAACATCAATATGCATTGTCCATTAATATAAAAAGCTTTTTAGACATATAGGCAAGTATGAAGTAATATAAATAATGAAGTTTTATACATTATATAAAAAAATAGCTTACATTAACAAATAAAACACAAGGTAGGCCTTCTGTTTAAAGGGGGATGTCTCACAGACATTTTTAGATGATTTCATTCATTCGTTTTCACTACACACAAGGTCCGTCTCTTTTTTTGTCTTATATTTATCCTTTTAGCATCCATGTGAGATAAAAGAACGGCATCTTAACTTCATCTTTTGTAAAACACAGTTGCCATTTAATTCTTAGTAAATCAGATTCATAGCGTCCATGTGCAAAAATGTAATGAATGCACTTTACACTTCCGACTGTACAATATGTTTTCTTTTTCTTATAATGCACAGAGTTTTGAGGTAAGGGACATTTTCATTTGTCATTGATGACAGTCAGACAGGCTCATCCAGTTCATTGAACTCGAACGATCTTTTAAAAACTAAATCAGAAAGCAATATAAAACGGTCTCATAAAAGCCGGCATATACATTGAAAACATGATTCGATTCGTGCCTTCTGATTGGATCTCGGGATATAGCGTCTTTTGCTGTCAAAAGCAAGTGGCATTTAGAGGCTTTTGCAAATAATCTGTCAGTTCTGAATGTTCTGATGCTGCGATTTAGATGATTTGAAGAAAAAATATTTGTTGATCTACTACGTGCCTAAAGCATTCACTCAATGTCATTAGCTCATTTTTGGCGGAAGTGGCGTTTAGTGGCTTTTGCATCTGAACTCTTCAAATATTCTATTAAAATCTGCAGCCCATTTTCTCTTTCCCTTTCAACTGCTAAAATAAGTTTTTTTTTTTAAGTTTAAGCTTTTCACAGCAAACATCGTTTTAAAGGGCGCCTATTTGACCCCTTTTTCAAGATTTAAAATATGCCTTATGTGTTTCCAGAATGTGTCTGTAAAGTTTCATTTTAAAACACTTATCAGATTATTTATTAAACCTTTCTGTATATTGGAATTTTTAGCTCTGAACACATTGTAGCTGTTTTTCTAGCCTGTGTCTTTAATGCAAATGAGCTAGTTCTTCCTGCCCACCGTCCCCATGAGGAGAAAACCTCTATGGCTCTGATGTGCCATCTCCTGCTGCATCAAATAAACAGCACAATAACAGACATGAAGGAAGCAGATCTCAAATAACGTTTGTGAAAAATACTACAGTACGAGCTGTTATTTGATATATTTGTGGGGAGAAACTTTAAGCCTTTTCTGCAACAATGAGTCACACACAATGTCATTACAAAGTTCACACGCACACACAGCATGCGTGTTTATGTTAATATACAATTCTGTATGTTAATGTACAAAATAAACCTGATTTAACGTCCACAAACTAGCATTGAATCATCTTCTTTTGTAATTGTACTGTCATGTGGCTGTGGTGATGAATTACAGCGATTTTACTTTCTTTACTTTATTACGAACAAGTACCGTTTTAAAAACATTTATAACTTGTGAAACATTCTTGATCACATTTGATAATGATTGATGATCACAGAAAGTAGAACAGATCTTTTAATCCCAGTTGCTTTGTGCACATCCTGTCTTGTTGATATAATTATACATTTTTACATTATTAGACATAATATAACAACATTCTTTATATCACCCCAATATGACAGTGGGAACACTATACCACACAGTTCTGTCAAGACAACTTACAAAAGATGATATTCTTCAAAGGTGCCCTTTAAATTGACTTTATAGAAAATATTGAAGTAAATGCTCGTAATATCACAAAGTGCATTAAAATACTTTGACTGATAATGTAGTTTATATTTTGCTATATACAGTACAGTTGAAGTCAGAATTATGAGCCCCCCTTTGATTTATTTTTATTTTTTTTATATTTTCCAAATGATGCTTAACAGAGCAAAGAAAATTTTACAGTATGTCTGATAATATTTTTTCTTCTGGAGAAAGCCTTATTTGTTTTATTTCAGCTAGAATAAAAACTTTTTTACATTTTCAAACACAATATTAAGGAAAGAATTATTAGCCCCTTAAAGCTAGTTTTTTTTTTCAGATAGTCTACAGAACCAATCATCATTATACAATAACTTGCCTTATTACCCAAACCTGCCTAGTTAACCTAGTTAAACCTTTCAATGTCACTTTAAGCTGTATAGAAGTGTCTTGGAAAACATCTAGTCAAATATTATTTACTGTCATCATGGCAAAGATAAAATAAATCAGTCATTAGAAATGAGTTTTTAAAACTATTATATTTAGAAATGTGTTGAAAAAAAATCTTCTCTACATTAAACAGAAATAGGGAAAAAAAATAAACGGGGGCTAATAATTTAGTGGGCCAAATAATTCTGACTTCAACTGTATATATTTAAGATATGCTATATATTTTACTATTTACTCTATGCATGTATGCTGGCTGATAACGTTTATTCATTTACTTATTAAGAGCTTAATCTACAAGTACATCACAGTATAATTACGTGTCAATTTATTGTCTTTGTATAATTTTCTTTAACTTTCTTGCATCACATTCAACTCAAAGCTTCAATTTAAGTTTCAACCAAAAGTAGGTGTGTCAGCAAATGTAACTGTGTCTTTCAGTGAGTTGCTCATTTACCAGAGCTTATGTTACTGTACCTTAACAATGCTGATGGGTTTCCTGGAGAGGTGGAAACTTGTGTAGAGCAGAAAAGTGAGGGCAAATGTGAAGGCTTTGTACCTGTGGAAAAATGAGGACAAGGTAAGAGAAACTTTTAAGAGTGAAACATCCTTTTGTCATACTCAATAACAATAGAAAAGACTGAATTCATGCCAAAATAAGTAAAAAAAAAATAAAAAAATTAAAGCACGCTGGGCGTATACTGAAAGCATGCGCAAATGACAGACGCACCTACTGCTCAGTTACGCAAATGAGCTTGTTTGATGAGCAAACAAATCAGAAGTTAAAGGAAGCCTGTCTCACAATTGCTTAACGTCAACTAAAAAGGGCAAAGTAGAGACTTTTGAAACTCCACTGATGTTATATAATCTTGCTAAGATCCGGTTTGTAGTCTGAAACTGATGCATAGGGCCCTGGCATGTTGTGGGCCCTAGGCTGGCTTGCCTTGAAGATCTTGAAATTTATACCTGCATGCAATATTCTGATCCTGAAGGGTTTTAACCTTTATATTTTAGGACACACACAGAGAGGAGACAGGAATTAATGGGGAGCAGAGAGAGGAGAAGGATCGGGAAAGGACATTAAGCAAGAAACTCGGTACTAACCACTGGGCTATCGGCACAAAGTTTTTGTGCGTACGCAGCGTTGATACATGAGGCCCCTGGACACCCTACAGCTGTGTAAAAGCAACACATCTGTAGGGTGCCATTACAGAAAAAAAAAGATTCTTTGGTTTGTTACATTCAAATTTACAGCCTTAAAATATCTGTAACATTTTAAAAAATTAAGCTGACTTTTTCATAAATTGCACTATTGCAGGTTATTTTTAGAAAGTTACTTCCGTGATGGAATTTGCATGTTCTCCCTGCATTCGGGTGGGTTTCCTACGGATGCTCCGGTTTCCCCCACCGTCCAAAGACATGCGGTAAAGGTGAATTGGGTAGGCTAAATTGTCCGTAGTGTGTGTGTGTGTGTGTGTGTGTGTGTATGACTGTGTGTGGATGTTTCCCAGTGATGGGTTGCGGCTGGAAGGGCATCCGCTGCGTAAAAACTTGCTGGATAAGTTGGTGGTTCATTCCGCTGTGGCGACCCCAGATTAATGAAGGGACTAAGCCGACAAGAAAATTAATGAATGAATAAACTTCCATGATTAACGAGGGACCACTGTGCACCCCTATTTTGTAATATTCAAATGATCCAACTTCCCATGACTACTGTAAGCTGTAGCATCAATCTTTTTTTTTATTTCGTTTTCATTTCCAGTTATGCTCACATCCTGAATATATCCTTCCTCATATGCATATTGCACATTTTTATGTCTCCTTCTGTCTAAAATCAGTAAGCTATAAAATTTTTTGCAGAAATGATTTGCCATTTCGTTAAGGAGTGCACAAACTGATAGTGGAGCATCATGGTTAAAACTGATAACTTGTTGGACATGGACAAGTGAGCGGGGTTTGCGAAGGGTCAGTTGGCTGCAAGAAGAAAAAAGCTGCGTCCCAAATCGCATACTTATGCACTATTCTACGCCATTTTGTAGTATAAACAGTGTAAGTAGTGTGTTCACACTGAAAACTCTAAAAATAATAAGTGCACTTTAATTACCCGGATGATGCACTCATTCAGCCGCTAAAATGAAGTGTGTAATGTTGGACACTTCACGCACTCAACGACCGCAGGTTTGCTTACGTAGCGGAAGGGGGCGGAGCTATCGGACGCACATGTTGAATAGCTTTATTTAATTTGGATGGTGAAAGCAAAATTCTTTTACGAGAGTGATTATAGCGCCTCCCGATAGTGATTGCGGCAACACTCACGGCAGGTATTATTTGATAATTCAAATGTCATCAGGGAAACGGTTTGAATTTCCGCTTAGTAAAAAAATATTAGTGTGCCATTTGGGACGACACTACACACATATACTACCCTGTTGAGTGTGTAAGTGCATAAGTACATAGTGCATGAGTGCATAGTGTATAGTGTGCCATTTGGGACGCAGCTATAGTCTCAGCGGAGAGGAGCTAGAGAGTCAAGTGTACAGAGCTGGACATGATATTAAAACAAAAATCCAAACAAATATCAGGTTCCCTAAAAAGCAAAGACAGGTAGGAGAGGAAAAGAAAACAAGATTTTTTTTCAAGAACATTTTTTTGCCTAAGAGAGCAGGTGAGAAAACGGTATTGTGTTGTGTGTTAACAGCATTGTTAGCAAGCCAGGTCTGCATTTTCTTATGTAATGTTCCAAAGCCAACAATTAGCATTCTTATGTCACTCCAAACACGTAAAAAAAACCTTTTTAAGAACAAATAATGAAACACAAAATGCAACCGATTTCTGTATTTGCTCTTTTTTTTTTTTTTTTGGTAAAGTTAAAAGCATATTTTCAGTCCCCTGCACGTCTAGTCTGTCTGGTTTTGACGGTACATAGGAATTTCAACACACCTAGTTTAGTCTATGCATGCTGTGAACAAACCAAACCGGATTGATCACAGTCCATCCTGAAACAGAGCGAGTGACGCAGGTGTGCAAATGGAAATATGCAAGTTGTGTTTAAACACACACATTATAGAATACATTTGTTACAGCTGTCAGGGGAAAAAAAAAAGAAAGATGTACTATAACCTACGCACTATATACCCAACTATCTAATATAAGCGGATTAAAAGGTTATTTCATCATCCAACAACAGAGTTTGAAAGTCTCTTCAGCATCAGTTTACCAGCATTTTACACTCCGAGAACAACTATAATAAAATCACTTGTGTACAGAAATTAAAGAATCTTAATAACAGCTCATAACGATAACTTGAAGCAAAAATAAAATACTATTGTATAGTAAACTGTTTCTTAAAGTAATAATAACAACAGTGATAACAATAATAATTCATTATTATTGTTACTATATTAATACTATTATTATTATTATTATTCATAAAAATTATTTTATTTTGAATGAATAATTACACAGTAAAAAGTAAAACTTTTTCCCAGTGATGGGTTGCAGCTGGAAGAGCATCAACTGCGCAAAATATATGAGGAATTAGTTGGTGATTCATTCTGCTGTGGCGACTCCTGATAAATAAGGGACTAAGTCGCGGCTGAAAATGAATGAATGAAGTTAAATCATTGTTATTTAAATATTACATTATATGTTCTAGATTTTCTTGTTGTTAAACTATGATTTCATGATTTTTGTTTAATTAATTTTATATGCTTCTAGATTATTATAATGTATTTTAACCATTTAGTCTATAAAAACTTAAACAAAATATTATGGGGGACAAAAACACAATATGAGGATAAAGAATTCTTATATAACTGTTTATATTATTATTATTATTGTGCATCAAGGGAGTCCATCAAGTTACAATACAGAATTATGTCTAAATTACATAATTCTGCATATCAAAAATGTGGTCAGCTGACTTCCTAAACACTTCAAAATGCAATTCTGTAACTTATAAAACCAAAGAGCTTACATTACCGAAGAAAATTATAATAATAAAATAAAATAATAAAATAAAATATAATAATAAATAATTAAACAAAAACAGCAGGGTATATAACTGTGTTTATATACACAGTTATAGTTTATATATGCCGTTATATACGGCACTCTTCGTAGGTTCTTCTAACTGCATTACCAAAAACTACAAAAACTGAAAAATTACCAAAAACTGCTAAATCAATCATGCTACTGTAAGACAAAAGTCATTCAGAACTGCAAATAAGCTAAACTCTTCTCTCAATAGTGGAAACAACTTCCAAAGAAGCCACAATCAACTTTCATACCAATAAACAAATAAGATAGCTGGGATGTGTGCCCAACTATAATGACAGACATGCTCTGTGGAAATCTGATGATCTAGATCAGAGCCTGCTGATCATCAATGCCAAACACGCATGCAAATGTTTATAAACTCAAACTCACCACTGGTCCCGGTTGAAGGATGCCAGGAAACGGATCCCAGGAGGAACTGGTGCCATTTCAGGTTTGTGTGTGTTTGCAGCTGCTTAATAAATCTCATAAAGATGTTAGGCAGGACACCGGAGGATATGTGGTCACAAGACCCATCTCTGAGCAAGAGGACATTGTGGTGCGATCAGAAGGATTTAAGGTTTCATTACAAAGAGTCACAACTGTGGCTTTACATTCTGAAAGAACAAACAAACAAAGATACAAGTGAATGAATGAATGAATAAATAAATAAAGAAAGAAAGAAAAAAAGCCCTCTGCAAAAAGAGAAGTGAATGAAACTTTAAATTTGATTAATTGCATATTCATGGCATATTGTCATTATTTATTTCAGAATATATATATATATATATATATATATATATATATATATATATATATATATATATATATATATATATATATATATATATTAAAAAAAGACCGAACTGTCAAACATGATAAACGACGAAGTCAAAACGTGGCATGTTACAGTACAAGCAGAACTAATGTTTATGAGAAACAAAAAGATATTTTGAAAAAACTAATACAGTGCTAAAATATAGTTATACTATGATCGGTTTAACATTTAATTTTAGTGTGACTAAATAGAGTAACATTAACTTACATTATTATTATTCCAGTAGGTTTAAGTTAATGATAACGTTACTCTCACATTTACTGAATGTCGTCGGAAGAACGGGTTTTATCAGTCAGAAGTGGGAGAGCGTTTATGAAAGATATAAAGGCATATATTAAAGGTTTGGTTTAAAACAGAGGAGGATGTCTCACCACATCTGCCATCGCTCGGTTCAGCGTTGTCTTTAGCTACCGACCGTCGCTTTTACTTCCTCATTCAGCCGGTGCGAGATGACGTAAAGAGGAGCGGTAAAGGCAGAAGATTGTTTCAAAGTAAAAGACTTTACTCGTTACAATGTGCGATTCGGTCTAAGTTACATTTGTTTTACACTTTTAAAAATCGAGAATTGAGTCGATACTTTAATGAACCAATATATTAATACGCTACTGGTCAAAATGCTGAAAAATTAAGTTTATGGTGACGCATGATCTTTCAGAAATAAAATGTTGATTAGTTACTCTCAAATGAAGAATCATTCATAATATTCAATCATTAAAAATGTCTGTGATCATTGTCATTGTTGGAAACATTAACTTTCCCGGATCCTTTGATGAATTAAAAAAAGTAGAAAAAGAAAAAGAAAATTACCAAGATTATTAAAAACCTTAAATATTTATTGAGAAGCTAAACAGTATATTAGAAGGATTTTTAGAACGTTCATGAGACACCAAAGACTTTAGTAATGCTGAAAATTCAGCTTTGAAATCAACATATTTATATATAAATAGTACTATATATGAAGCAATAAATAACGTTATAATAAATGACATTAAGTAAATGCGCATAACTTTATTTTAAATAAATAAATAAATAAGTAAATGAATAAATAAATTTGGTTATTTTAAACTGAAATAGGGCGGTTCATTCCACTGTGGGGACCCCTGATTAATAAAGGGACTAAGCCAAAAAGAAAATGAATGCATGAATATACTGAATTATTTTCACAATATTAGTAAACATTTTATATTATGTTAATCAAATAAATTATGTTCTTTAAAAACTTTAATAATAATAATAATAATAATAATAATAATAATAATAATAATAATAATTATTATTATTATTATTATTATTATTATTATTATTATTATTATTGTCAGACTGGTTGGACTCTTGTTCGACTGTGTTCTGGCTTCACATTGTAGTAATGATGCTCCCTCTGCTGTCCTGTCGGCTGCTTCTCTATTCGCTGATTTTTCAGTCATGCAGCAGCAGCAGATGAATATAATTGTGGGTCATTATAAACAGAATTATAGTGCGTCGAGACTTTGCACAACAATGTTTTAACGACTGCTGACTACGAGTGAAAATTAGCACACTCAGCAGATCGGTTTGTGGCGTAAACACAGAGTCGAGTGTATGTGACGGTGGACAAACGCCGCACTGACGCTCATTAAAGCAACTGGAGAGCAGGTACACATTATTATTCGATTATTCTGTTCTGGTGTATTATATGCTGTATGGTTATGTTTGTTAGTTTCCCTCTGGAATTATTTAACATTATTTTATGGGACGGTTTCACTTCCTACATTAAACTACTGTTAAATTAGTGATACTTGAATAACGTTATACGGTTCAGTTTCTATCAAAATGCTCTGACCCTAGTTAAAACTGATAGTTGGTATTAGCCACTATGTTATACTTTATAATAAAAATACATGTATTTATAAAGGTTAATCGTTATAAAAATCAATCATGGTTGTGCTAACAAAAACATAAACACCTAAAATAACCATAGATTTGCCACTCTAACCATAGTTAACTATGGTTTTAGTTGTCAAACTTGGGTTTTACAAATCATTTTCAATGTCAAAAATATGCTAATATAATAATTCCTACAGCAATTTTCTTGGTAACTACACTTCTACTATAATTATGGTTCTCTTTTTTTAGGGAATTTTGTGAAAAAACGTAGTGTTGCCACTTCCTTCAAACAAGGAGCATAACCTCATTCATCATTCATTCAGTTTCCTTCTGCTCAGTCTATATTTCAGGTTGCTACAGAGGAATGAACTGCCAACTATTCCAGCATATGTTTTGCACAGCTGATGCCCTTCGCCACTGGCTTTTTTCGATAGATTTGCTCTCCAGTGTTTGAACTCTCAGCAGTGAATATTAAACCACACCGAACTGAACTAAACTGAACTTTAACAATGAAAACTGTACTGACACTGTTTCGATTGACTAAATTCTTCTATGTGCAGCTGCTTTGACACAATCTACACTGTATGAGCGCTATAAAAATAAGGATGAATTGAATTGAGTTCTTGCTGCAACCTTGTACCGGAAAACCTGATACAAACTCATTCACATTCATACGGCCAATTTAGTTTATTCAATTCACCTATAGGGCATGACATTGGACTCCGGGGAAACTGGAGCACCCAGAAGAAACCCATCTGAACACGGGGAGAACATGCAAACTCCAGACAGAAATATCTACTGGTCCAGCTGTGACTCGAACCAGCAACCTTCTTGCTAACCAATAAAATAACACAGAAAAAACACTGAGATAACCACTGAGCCACCGTGCCGCATGAAACGCACACTTTTTTTTTTGTAAAATGTTATTAAATTTTTATTATTATAAATATTTTGTATGACTTTATCATACAGCAGTTGCTTTAGCGTGGATGTTACTATTAAATAAAATGTATTATTTGTTTGTTTGTTCACAAATAGAGCCAAAATTAAAGAGAGAAAACACTTAAATGAAAAACAATGCCTTGTCAAATAACTAAAACTGATTAAACTAAAGTAACTTAGGATACATTTTTATTTAATTTATAAAAAATTCTGAAATAAAAAAATGTATCATTGAAATGTAAAACATTTAACAACTACAATTAAAACTGATTTATTAAGAAATCGAAAATACTATGTAATAAAACCAACATTACACTGAAAATGTAGGAATTTTTTTAGCAATACTGTTTGCACAAATATTTGTGATCCCTAAATGCTGCTTATATGTAAATAATACATTTAGAAAAATGACTTTAAAAGTTCAATAAAAAAAATCATAAAGTTTGATTTAATTTGATGCAAAGATGAAATCATAAATAATAAATGAAGTAATGGCTCTAAAAATGTACATATATTTAAAAACCTAAAAATTGAATAATATCACAATAATACTAAAATAGCACAGAAAAAGCAGGAATTTTCTAACAATACTGTGTGCTAATATATCTTAATGCTGCTTATGTAAATATATAATATTTATATAAATTAAAATAAAATAAAATGACTTAAAATTTTTTTAAAAAGTCATACATTAAAAATAATCAAATAACATAAATATTAAAATGACTTTTTAATCATATATAAATGTGATATAAATTTAATGTCATTCCACAATGGCAAATTTCTGTATTTAAGAGTTAATATCAAGAAGAAGATTTTACATTTATGCTATAAAATCATCTTAAAAGCATCTAAATAATACAATATTTTACCTAATGCTCTAAAACATAATGCAAAATATGAATGTCAGAATATGATGAATTATTATTTTTAATGTGTTCTGTGGTTTTTCAGGGGCTGTGATGGTGGAGGACGGGACGCTCATGAAGGGCCGGGTGACGGTGTACTCTGTGCCAGGCTGTCCACACTGCACACGGGCCAAAACCACTCTGGGTGCGTTAGGCGTTCCCGTGTGCGACGTGGATGTGAACAAACACAGAGAAATCAGAGCACGAGTGAAGGAGCTCACCGGCCACTCTTCTGTACCCCAAATATTCTTCAATAACCTTTATGTTGGAAACAATGAAGACCTCCAGAACCTGGTGAGCTGATATACAATCTCCCTTCTGACTGACTGACTCTTCACTCTGGCTTGATGTATTGTTTCTGGGAAATGAGACTGATCAACATGAAAATAAGTGGTTTATTTGTGTTTGCAGGACCCTAAGCGGCTTGAACATCTCCTCCTGTCTGTGAGGGATGAAGCAGTGCCTCTGGATGCTCTGCCTGTGCCTGTTGAAAACTGCAGATCTGAGACTGATGGAGGTCAGTGGGTTTAATGGAAGCTTTTCACATCTCTGGGTTTCTCAGCAATGCAAAAGATTCATCATAGTTGGGTAAACTTGAAGGTGCAGTAGATTAGAGAGTACCACAAATAGGCATGGGCCGGTATGATATTCTGACGTTATAATAACCTTGAATTAAAATATCACAGTTTCACAGTGTCACGGTATTGTGATTACTGCTCTAATATATATTCTTTTAAAATGTCTATGTAAAAACAACTACGTTTTCTCCCATTGAACTCAATATATTTTATTTTTAGAAACATTACAAATATTTTAGAGCAGTAAACATATCAGGCTAAAAAATTAAAATGAATCATTGACTTCTGCTATCTTCATTATCTTCTTTTTTATACATACAGTAAGCAACTGCACTGTTCAGGTCTATAGTATGCTTGGATGTTGGTGCATAAGCAATTTTTTTTTTCAAATGTTTCCTGAATTGTGGGCTGATCCACAATATATATACATATATATATATATATATATATATATATATATATATATATATATAGTCATTCATTCATTCATTCATTTATTCGTTTTTTTTCTCCGGGGGATCACGAGGCATTCTCAGGCCAGCTGATAGACTTAGTCCCTCCAGCGTGTCCTGGGTCTTCCCCGAGGCCTCCTTCCGGTGGGATATGCCTGGAACACCTCCCTAGGTAGGCATCCAGGAGGCATCCTAAAGAGATCCCCGAGCCACCTCAGCTGACTTCTCTCGATGTGGAGGAGCAGCGGCTCTACTCCGAGCTCCTCCCGGGTGTCAGAGCTTCTCACCCTATCCATAAGAGTGTCCCCTGCCTTCGAAGGAAACTCATTTCGGCCACTTGAATCCGAGATCTTGTCCTTTTGGTCATGACCCAAAGCTCATGACCATAGGTGAGAGTAGGAACGTAGATTGACCGGTAAATCGAGAGCTTTGCCTTTCAGCTCAGGTCCTTTTTCACCACAACGGATCGGTACATCGACCTCATTACTGCTGCCGCTGCACCAATCCGCCTGTCAATCTCATGTTCCATCCTTCCCTCACTTGTGAACAAAACCCAGAGATACTTAAACTAATCCACCTGGGGTAAGGACTTTTCTCCAACCTGGAGATGGCAAACCACCGGAGTACCATGGCCTCAGACTTGTAGGTGCTGATTCTAATCCCAGGCGCGTCACACTCGGCAGCAAACCGCCCCAGTTGCATGCTGAAGGTCTATGTTCGATGAAGCTAAAAGAACAACATCGTCTGCGAATAACAGAGATGAAATCTTGTGGTCCCCGAACCGGACCCCCTCCAGCCCAAGGCTGCGCCTTGAAATTCTGTCCGTAAAAATTATGAATAGAATAAATCACAAAGGGCAGCCCTGCCGGAGTCCAACATGCACTGGAAACAAATCTGACTTATTGCCGGATGCGAACCAGACTCCTACTCTGTTCATACAGGGACGAGACGGCCCTCAACAGATCGCCTCTGACCCCATACTCCCCGAGCACCCTCCACAGAATGCCACAAGGCACACGATCGAATGCCTTCTTCAAGTCCACAAAACACATGTGGACTGGTTGGGCGTACTCCCATGAACCCTCGAGCACCCTGGTGAGGGAATAGAGCTGTTCCAGTGTACCACGGCCCGCATGAAAACTGCATTGTTCCTCCTGGATCCTATGTTCAACCATCGGTCGGATCCTCCTCTCCAGTACCCTGGCATAGACTTTTCCCAGGAGGCTGAGGAGTGTGATCCCTCTATAGTAGAAGCACACCCTCTGGTCCCCCTTCTTACAAATGGGAACCACCACCCCAGTGGCCCAGTCCAGAGGTACTGTCCCCGATTTCCATTCTATTTTGTAAAGACGTGTCAACCACGACAGCCCAACACCATCCAGAGACCTAAGACTGGGTGAATCTCATTTGCCCCCGCTGCTGAGTGACCTCAGCTTGGGTGATGGGTGAGTCCACCCCTGCATCACCAGTCTCTGCTTCCTCAATGAAAGACATGTCAGTGGGGTTAAGGAGATCCTCAAAGTATTCCTTCCACTGCCCGACCACATCCCCAGTCGAGGTCAACAGCTCCCCACTTCTGCTTTAAACAGCGTCAATGTGGAGCTGCTTTCCCCTCCTGAGGCGCCGGAGAGTTTGCCAGAATCTCTTTGGGGCCGACCGATTGTTTTTCTCCATGGTCTCCCCGAACTCTTCCCAGGGCCGAGTTTTTGCTTCTGCAACCGCCCGGGCTGAAGCACGCTTATATAAATATCCTATCCATGGATGCCACATTAGAACCCTTATCAAATAAATATTGGTTGAATTACAAAAATAACTACAACAGCAAAATAAAAACACCTTAAATTAGCATGAATAATGCTACACTAACCATAATTTAACCATGTTATTTTTAGTAAAGTTTGTAGTGGTTTTACGTATGGTAATCAATACACCAAAATTAATTATAAATAATGTATGAATTATATTACACTAAAGTGTAAGTGAAAGGTGTAACGATGACCCATACTCAAAATTTGGGCTCTGCATTTAACCCATTCAAGTGTGTAAACAGTGAACAAACATCCGGTGGTGCTACACTACACTTCTACTATACAGTAAGTAGCCAATGGTTAACTATTGTACTGGAAATTGTTGTGAAAATTGTAAATAGTTTTTTTTTTTTGAGACTGATAATGGCAACCAGAAGGGAGAAAACAATATTAAGTTTACTGTCCCGTCCATACAGGTGCTTCACTAGCCTTTCATAAGTGGTAATAATAATAATAATAATAATAATAATAATAATAATAATTATTATTATTAGTATTATTATTATTATTATTATTTTATAATATAAATTATAGCTCCAAAAATGTAAATATATTTAAAATCTAGATATTTAAAACATTCGAGGATACTGTCTTGTGAAAAGGGTCTATAGTTGGGATTTTCAGAAATGTGGCCTCATTTGTTTTCCTTTAGTACTTTCTTATATTTTCTGCTGGTCATTTGAATCAACTCACTTTTACTCAAGCTTAATTCTGGTTATAAACCCTTATTAGTTACGTGTTTTCTGTTGAACACAAAAAGAAGTGTTTTTTTTATTTTTATTTACAATTGACTTCCATAGGAACAAAAACAGTTTTCAACATATTACAAAATATCTTCATTTGCGTTCAACAGAAGAAATACACTCAAACAGGTTTGTGACATGTAAAGAGTGAGTAAAGGATGATAGAATTTTCTTTTTAATGAAGCAAATAACTTATTTTCTGTATTTTAGCTCATTTAAAGTGTTCAAATCTTCAGAATTCAATCTTTGGTATTTCACCGCCAGGACTAATGCTGGTAAAGAAATTACTTTATTTGTCATAAACTCTGAAACCCAATTACTTTTACAGCCTTTGAAAGGTTTTTGTAGCTGTCCCCTAACCTGTGCCTTTCTACAAATTTATCCTGAAGGTCTTTTGAAAGCCGGGTGTAATGTGAGTAAAGGTATAGATTTTCACAGGGTATCATGAATTTATGTAGTCGTATATGACTTGTTTGATACTTTTATGACTGTTTATTATGACATTTAAATTCATCTTGAGTATTAAAAGGATGTATCAGCCAAAATTAAAAGTTGCTGTTTATTCTTTTAGGCTTAGACAATCCAACACATCAGTCTCTTTTCTTCAGAACCACATTGAAAGAAAGTGTTTAGATCAGTAGTTCTTAAACTTTTTTCACCAAGTACCACCTCAGAAAAAAAAATGTCTCTCCATGTACCACCATAATGACCAGTATTGAAATAAAGTAGTGTAGTTGGCCAAATTAAGCAGCTACAGCACTGCACAGTTCGAAAACGAGGCTTATTTATACAATTTCTGATAAATTTTGAAAAATATGTTGCATGTGCATATGAAATATTTGTAAAACTTTTTGAAATTTAAATATTAATTTGTATGTAGATTGCTAGGGAACCCGTTTTTCTTAGAGGATGTCAAGACGATAAAACTTTGCTGCACTCTGATACAAGTTTTACTTATGGAGAAACTTAAAAAGCACTGCAGTGTTTGGCTGTTCTGATTTTTTTCTGAGATAATTAGTCTAACAAAATTATATTCCATACAAATTATGAAGCAGATCAGTCAGTTCTTGTCATGTGACTCGCGTTGCGGCATTCTAAAAAGTTAAGATGTCTTCAGCTATAGCAATGCATGGAATATGCTTGCATTTTGTGTCTAACGAGCTTGCGCGTGGAAATGAGACAATATGTAAGCAGCTTCCTTCATTTGCGATCCACAGCAGTTAATCTTCTTGCACATGCTGGATTCACCTGTTTTGTTGACAAGTGGGTTGCGGATCCTTTCGTTGGCAGTTCTTACTCATTTGGTCTGTGGGTTAAATTTTGGAGCTCAAGTGACCGAGATGTAACAAGAGAATACAGTCATTTTTTTTAAATAAAACATTTTTCAAAATAAATGATCGTTCAGACTCCGATAACAAATGAAATGGAAATAATTAATGATTTTTTGTTTGGCCCGGTACCAATTGATCTACAGACCAATGCCGCTCTGTGGCCTGAGGGTTTGGGACCACTACTTTAGCACAAATCTGCTCTTCAAGCCCCACGTACGTCTTTCTCTAGTTCTGCGCCAATTGGATCGATTTTAGCAGCTGATGACGCGATGCACAAAAGTAAACATAGAGAACCGCCAATGCTGATCACATTGGTGTTATCATACGCAACAAATAATTAAAATTGTCTAAATTTTTTCTTTCATAGCTTATTGATTCCTCCCGCGCACCACTAGAAGTGAGTCCGTGTACGACTTGTGGTACACGTACCACAGTTTGAGAACCACTGTTTTAGATAAAATCAGGACCCAGGCTTTTCCTGTCTCAAATCAAGGTGGAGGTGGTATCGCAATTATATAATTTTTGGTACTTGTGGTGTTAAGTAACAAATTGCAAATACTCAAATTACTGTAATTGAGTAGTTTTTCTCAGGAATTGTACTTTAA